AGAGGAGACTTGAAACAAGAGAAACAAAGAAAAGAGTGCTGAACTGCTATGTAATATCAATCCTCCTATATGGCAGTGAATGATGACAATTTCCTCACAGATGAAGAGGAGATTTGAAGCAAGAGAAACAAAGAAAGAAAAGTAAATCAATCCTCCTATATGTGAATGATGGACTGAACTGCTATGTAATATCAATCCTCTATATATGGCAGTGAATGCAAGACAATTTCCTCACAGATGAAGAGGAGACTTGAAGCAAGAGAAACAAAGAAAAGAGTGCTGAACTGCTATGTAATATCAATCCTCCTATATGGCAGTGAATGCAAGACAATTTCCTCACAGATGAAGAGGAGATTTGAAGCAAGAGAAACAAAGAAAAGTGTGCTGAACTGCTATGTAATATCAATCCTCCTATATGGCAGTGAATACTGGGCAATTTCCTCACAGATGAAGAGAAGATACCAAATAATGTTTTACAACACTTTTACGTTTTTGAGGAAACTTATTTAAAGATTAAGTTTATGTTCAAAATTAGAACATTGGAATTTCATTCCGGTGATCAGTAAAAACCAATACAGTACAACCTTGTAAAATTTATAATTGATATATATACAGTTATTTGATTTTGAAATTAAAATATATAATAAATTCCATAACCAAAAATAGTATATCATAAAAATGATCCAGAGTATAAAGCGACATCCGACCAAAATACAGAATGTTACTTTAAAATGTTTATATCACGATGGTTTCACTTCCAAAATATTCGTATCTCAATGGTCAGGGAAGACGCTATAAAAAATGTTGTCCATTAGATAAGTAAATATTTATACATAATTATGTCAATTTACAAGACTAAGGGAAAAATATAAGCAAGTATAGATAAATTTTGCAATAAAAATATTTCTTCCAGAAGTAGCGAGCCACCAAAGAAGAGATTAAAAAAGAAATTACATTTATTAACTCTTAAACGATACACTGGTCAAATTTGATTAACTTCTCACAAAATGGAGTTTGTGAACTTGCAGAAGTTTTTTCAAATAATGGTCTGCAATAGGTTCTAATGAAGGGAACGACGTTGGAGTAGCTGAATTTAGCTGCACATTTGCAAGTGTGGAAAGTGCAGATAATTAACAAATTGTATATGGACAGGAAGCGATGCACAAACACATTATTACTAAATCAGTGTGCCATCAAATAAGACCTTCATTTACTTCAAAGGGAAATTATACTGAACAATTTACCTATATCATGATGTAATATGTTATACAGTGCAGTAGTTTTAGCGTGATTTTCAATAAACAATGCAAATTTAAAACATTTGGTCTTATAATCTGTGCCTAGGAGTATTACGGTGTTATAGTGGAGTAATAGATAACGGCTCTGATTGAGGAATCGGAGAGCCGAGTTCGAATTCCAGTTGAATCCATTACATTCACTTACGTGCTAAAACCCTTGGGAAAGGTATGAATCCTCTTCTTCTCCCACCAGCTATGGGTAAATAGCAGAACATACCAGGTTCTACAGTCTTGGATGACATCTGGTCTACCGCAGAAAGAAATGGCAACCTACTGCGGGTAAAAGATTTGCCTCGTCAGTCATGTATCGAACTGACACACTTTTATCTATTTTTTGTTTTTATTACACCTGCTAAATGGTGTAAGATCTTATTCATTGATTAACATTTTTTGTAATCATTTACAGTTTTTTACACAGTTTTTACTTATCGAATATAAACAAATGTGTATTTTGCTTTTGGTGATTCATAACTAGAATTCTGGTTTGAATATATTCATTTTTTCGTGAAATACATTCATTTGATGCTTTGTCTCACATCATCAGTAATTCTTTTCGCCGAGATTCATTAGGGGTTTCGGGTCTTTCAACGTCATACCCCCCCCTCTCTCCGGTGACCCAGCCGATACTGATCGGGTATCGACTTGTATGTTATCCGTCAGCTACAACAAGCCTCATGTTTGTTTTTTTTGGCAATTTATATTCCAATCACGGATAACTTCCGGTTCACCAACAATCTACGCTCTTCCATAAAAAAGGAAGCAAACGCAGTAACGGTTTCGATCTGGTAAGGAACATGGCGTCGCACATGGCCTGAAGTCGTAAATAGCGATCTTTGTTTTTCCTCACTGATATATATATATATATATATATATATATATATATATATATATGCAAACACACATACGAAACCGATTCTACTCACTCTTATCTTATTTCCATCCATGTGACTCAGCCAATCATAAAATTGTAAGACACTCCACATGTATCCATTGTATATATATATATTAAGAAATGGACAAAGTCCGACAATTTATTTATTAAAGACATTTTTATGTTTAACGTTCTTTTTTATAGATAGAAATTTTCATAGAAAATATTCGTCCTTTGACAGGATTCAGAACCGTCATTTACGCTGAAGTTTATGAGCAGTAAATTGAACGCTCCTTTGTGGCCGAGTCGGTTAAGGCCCGTCAGCATAAATGACGGTTCCGTATAGGATGCAGGTTCGAATCCTGTCAAAGGACGAATATTTTCTATAAAAATTTCTCGGAAATGTTATTTAATACTGTTTATTATAAACAGAGCATTTACTTAAATACTTGTATCTATAAAAAAGAACGTTAAACAAAAAAAATATATATATATATAAAAATCTGTAACCCTGGTAAGAGGGCAAACAGGTGTTAGATCTTAGCCACAGATCAGCCGTAGGTAATAATGGTTCGGGGTACCCTAAGACTCTATTGTCGGGTGTAGTTTTAGGTCATATCCAAGACACACTTTCCTGTTCCCTCGAAAAATATAAAATAATATCAACTGCAACCTTCATTTCCTTACTGACTGCCAATCACTTGATCTTTTCAACCATAACCATCTCGTGGCTTCTTCTGCTGCCATTGTTTTTGAGCGAATGGTCTTGTTCTTATACAAGTCTGTTACGCCTAATTTTGAAAACATCTTACCTAGTGACCGCCCAACGAAGCTTCTGTATCTAATTTCAATCAGTTCGCACTGAGCTCTCCAAACCCGCCATTTGCGTTCCTCTACAATATGTAAATATTTCCCAAGTTTTCTTTCGTGGTCTTCATCCATATTTTCTTCCTAAGGGATTGTTAATTCTAATATGAGTAATTGCATAGTCTTTTTTCGAATAAATAAACATGTCCGGACGTAGCTGAGTCTGTATTATTTCCACTGGGAATTTTAGCAGTCTGTCTAAATCTATTATCATTTGCCACTCCGAGGTGAAATTAAGGATGGACCTTTTCTTCTTCTGTAAAGTCTTTTCCTCTGCCTTAACGAAATTCATCAGCTTCTTATTAGATTTATATCGGTTTGTTTGGAGACTCCTCGAGACTCTTGTTGCAATGGCACTTAAAGCTTCGTCATGGCGCCACTGGTAACGCTCTCTCACACAATGCCTTTCCTCAATACGTGTTGGAGGAATTCTCTCTTTTCACACAAGAGACACAGTGGAGACTCACTCTTTCCGCATATGTGGAGGTTTGCTGGATTTGGTAATGTATCATACATTGCCTATACAAGTAAACTTGTGTTACTGGGATTCGAATGCCAGAGATCTGCCCAGGAAATCTTTTTTCTATGTTTCCCCATTTTGTCCAGACCTAAGGCCACCATTTTGCTGGCTCTAACTTCCTCCACACCTGCTCTCACTTTTTACATTGAAAACAGTGTTTCCAATCTTTTTTCTCTCCTTCAGGGATTGAAACCGTAACCTAGACCTGATCTGCCCACTGCCACTGTTCTTACACGCACCTTCTGCCTTCTTGTGATGCCTTCCACTTTCTCCCAGTTTGAACACCAATTTCAGCATTTGCAACTTTAGGATCTTTTGAATCCCTATATAGGATTGCCTCCTTTATTGTTACCACTTTAATTTCCCTAACTAATCTTCTGAAGGAGAGTTGCAATGCGTTCGATACTCAATACCGACCTGCGCTCCTCAAACTTGTCGGTAGGTCGAGCCATCTTCTCAGATAACTTTCTTTTCTATATTCTCGACTGTTGTTAATACCACTTCACATAACGTCAGGGGCCACAGAATCTTTGGTAAAATGGCATTTTGATATATCCATACCTTAAAACGGCCTGACAGCCCTAACTAGTCAACTTTACTCAACATTGCTTCGAGGTCCAATTTCTGCGTATTGCTTCGAGGTCTAACTTTTGGGTAGCTTTTGTATCTTTTAAATTAGTATTCAATATTTTACCCAGACACTTAACTGTTTTTTTTTCTTTTAATGACGGGATAAGTCATTATCTTTTCTAAACTCTGTAATATCAACCGACATCCAGGAACAGTAGTTGTAACAACTGTCAGGTCATCCATATATGCACGGATTGGGGGTTGTCGTACTCTATTTCTCATCAATGGACCTTGACACTCAACTTCTGCTGATTTTACTAACATGTTCATAGTTAAGGTGAATAATGTCACTGAGATTGTACATCCAGTGATAATTCCCCTTTCTAGACAATGCCAATCGGAAGCTATCAAATCGAAGGTTATCTTTATGTTGAAGTCATTGTAATAATTTTGTATGAGATACTTTGTACAAATAGGAATATGGTACGTTAGAACTTCATCAATTAATTTGAGTTGAACAAATCCATATGCATTAGCGAGGTCCGGCCACAGTACGACTAGATCGCACTTTCTTTCTTTAGTTTCTCTTAGGAGCTGCGTTATCACGCCCGTATGCACAAGGCAACCTGGGACTCCTGTAATCCCATCCGTTCACTGTATATAATACAAAAATTTCAATTTTTTATTTTTTAATAGATTTCACCCATAGAAAGGCAGTAAAGCAGATAAGACACAATGGGTTACTGGGTATGGAAGAATTAGGAATAGAAACATTACTAATGAACGAGAAGAGAAAAGAGTAATCAGGACAGTAGATAGCGATTGACATCGAATAGCAGCTGCTGTAAAATTCGATGCGCGGGTGGAAATGGTTTACGGCAACATCACGTTGAACCACCGGTTATCGTATGATCACTGAAGTTAAGCAACGTTGAGCCTGGTCAGTACCTAGATGGGTGACTGCTTGAGAATAGCAGGTGTTGTAGG